AGCAGGTGCAGGAGCTTTCAAAGCTTTACTTCTTTTATCAGCACTCCTGATTTTATAAACAATGAAGCTCATCAACCCCATTCCCATCCAGATCTCCTGGTAAACTTCGGTATAGTAAGGTTTCATGGGGACCCATACATTTTTAATAAAGCTTTGAAGCATCTCAGCACCAAAGCAATGGCTGGGCCCAGGAGAGACCCACAGGCAGAGACTGGTGAAAGGTCACCGTATGCCATCTATCTTCTTTAGAGAAGCTTCTATTCATGTCTTTTGCCCAGTGATACACGGGATGGTTTGGTCCTTTTTGTTGATTAATTTGAGTTCTTTCTGGATCCAAGTTATCAAACTTTTGTCTGATTAATAATTTGCAAATATATTTTCCAATTCTGAAGGTTGTTTGCTTTGGTTTTGTTTCCTTAGCTGTACAGAAGCTTTTTGGTTTCATGAAGTCCCATTTCTTTATTTTTGTTGTTGTTGCCATTGCTACTGGAGGCTTCTTCACAAAGTATTTTCTCCAAGCCAATAACTTCAATTTTTTCCCCCACACATTGAAGATTTTTACTGTTTTACCCTTACATTTAGATCTTTTATCCATCTTACATCAATTTTTGTAAGTGAGGAGAGGTGCGGGTCAATTTGAGTCTTTTACATGTGGTTATCCAGTTCTCCCAGCACCATTTATTGAATAGGGATTGTGTTCTCCAGTGTATGTTATTGTTTGGCTTATTGAAGATCAGGTGGCTGTAAGATGTCAGTTTCATCTCACAGTATTGTGTTCTGTTCCAAGTGTCAGTGTCTCCATTTTTGTGCCAATACCATGCTGTTGTGATTACTATGGCCTTGTAGTATAGCAGAAAGTCTGGTAGAGTAATACCCTGGCTTTTTTTTTATTACTAAGAATTGCCATGGATAGATGGGGTTTCTTCTGACTCCATACAAAATGAAGAATTATTTTTTCTAATTCCTGAAAGTATGATCATGGTATTTTTATTTTATTTTATTTTATTTTTTTGATCATGGTATTTTAATGTGGATTCCATTGACACTGTGGATTGCTTTGGGTAGTATATACATTTTTACAATGTGTGTTCTTCCCAGCCATGAGCATGATATGTTCTTCTATTTGGTAATAGCTTGTGCAATTTATTTTCTTAGGGTTTCATAATTTTCTTTGTAGGTGTCCTTCACCTCCTTCGTTACGTATATTCCTAGGTATTTTTTTTTTGAAGCTACTGTGAAGGGAACTGTGTCCTTGATTAGCTTCTCATCTTGGCTGTTATTGGCATAGAGAAAGGCTACTGTTTTGTGAACATTGATTTTATACCCTGAGACATTGCTATTTTTTTGGTAACATTCATCCTCACATAAAGACTTGGAAATTAAACAACCTTATGCTGAAGGATAGTTCAGTTCAGGAAGATGTGAAAGAGTAAATAGTTAAGTTCCTGAAACATAGGAACAATGAAGATGCAAGTTACCAAAACCTATGTGATACAGCAAAAGTAGTCAGAAGAGGGAAATTCATTGCATTAGATGCCTATATTTGAAAAACCGAAAGAGAGTACATCAACATAGAATTCTTTTATAGCAGTCAGTGATGATCCTGTGTATCTCTGTGGTATTTGTTGCCATTTACCTGGTTTTGTTTCTGATTGAATTTTTGGAGACCTTTTCTGTGTCTAGTTAATCTTGCCAAAGGCATATCAATTTCATTAATTTTTTCAAAGAAGCAACTTTTGTTTTGTTGGTCTTCTGAATGGTTCACATGTTCTCAATTTCAGTTATTTCTTTTCCAAATTTAATTATTCCTTTTGTTCTGCTAAGTTTGTGAGTAGATCTATCTTTCTTTTCCAGGTCCTTGACATGGTTCATTAGGTTGTTGATGTGTGCTTTTTCTGTGTTTTGAATGTGGGAATTTAATGCAATACATTTCCCTCTGAGGACTGCCTTGGCAGTATCATAGAGGTTTTCATAGATTTGGGGTTCACTGTTGTTTTGTTTGAGAAATCTAATGCTTTCCTTCTTAATCTCCTCCTTCACCAGCTGTCATTCAGCATAAGCTTGTTCAGTTTCTGACTTTTTTTTTGGTTTATTTATTTATTTAATTTTTATTAAATGTTAGCTGTGTACATTAATGCAATCATGGGGTACAATGTGGTGTTTTCATATACAATTTGAATTATTTTCATCAAACTGGTTAACATAGCCTTTATTTCATTTTCTTAGTTATTGTGTTAAGATGTTTATAGTCTACTTTTAGAAAGATTCA